GAGAGAGAGAGAGAGAGAGAGAGAGAGAGAGAAAGAGAGGCTGGAAATCCACGGGGGTTCGGGGCCCCGGGGGAGCGCGGTTCTGGGCCGGGTGCTGAAGGCGCCAGGCCACCGCCCGCGCGCTTATAAAGGTTCACCTCCCACCGCTCCGCCTTTCCTCGCTCCCTCTCCAGCTCCCGGGCTCCCCGCACCAGCAAGGCGGGTCGCCCCCTCCCCGACAGAGCTGGGGACGCGGGGGAAGGTTGACCTGAGCCCTTGAGGTGACAGGAAACTGAGGCAAGAGGTTAAGGGGCGAGGGTGGGGTGTGGAGTTTGGAATGCCTCATTTAAATTGAAATTCTTTTTTTTNTTTTTTTTTTTTTTTTTTTGCCCTAACCCCTCTGGCCTCTGAGTTTTCGGATTGGGCTTTGGAGACGCTTTTGCGATAGTGGCTTTGGAGTCATCCCCTGAGAGCCAACACTCAATTCTCAGGCCCCTGGGGAACCGCAGTCGCAGAGCCCGCAGTCTGAGTAACTGTGCCCAGGCCGCCGGATTGGGGTCGGCCCACTTTGGGCTCTATTCAGGGCTTTTGCTGTAGCTGTTGTACGTGTCCTGCAGTCTGTGCCCCTTATTTTTTTTTGGGGGGGGGGCGAGGCTGACGTCCAAGGGGGTACCCAAGGTCCCAGTATGCTCGCAGGTCTGGGCGCACCCATGCGCGCGGGGGCTGCGGAGGGACCCGGCCCAGTGGGGAGAGAGTCCTGGAAAGTGAGTTGGAGAAGGTGAGGGAAGATTGAGTGCGGTAGGTGGAGAGGAGGAAGGAGGCGAGCTCGGCCCCCCCCCCACCTCCTCCCTCCGGGGGCGCAGGAGCTCCCGCAGAACCGTAGCTTTCTCTGTGGCCTTGGCTCCCTCCCTCTGAGCGAGTTTCCAAGGGATTGGGGCTCGGGGAGTTCTCAGTCGCCACGCACCCGACATAACCCTCTATAAAAAAGTCATCTTTTTTGGTATTGCTATGGAAATACGACGAAACCGTGTTCACCCCCATTCCATCTGGGGAGGCTTTTCTGGAGCCCGCAGCAGCTAGGTGCGGGGCCCTAGGACGCGGTGGGCTCCCCCGGGTTGAGACCCAGCCTGCTCCATCAGTGTATCCGCCTCATTAGAGCGATTCCAGTGCCTGGAGGCGGCCAAGAAAAGACAACCGTTTGAAGTGACTTAAGTCGCTCGTTACCCACGCTGGGCCGAGAGAGAAGACGGGTTTCCGGAATTTATTTTGTTTTGCGGGAGGCGAGCTTCGGTTGCCAGCCTTAGCCACGGGAGAGCCGGCCCCTGAGCAGGACGCCCCGAACCTACATCCCTCCAGCCCCCGAGGCCGGCGCGCTCCCGACCTTGGCGCCTCCGAGCGCGCACGCGGCGCGCGGACTGATGCCGCGGGGGACCCGGCTGCGAGCGCGCCCAGGCCCGCACCCCTTGCAGGATTAGTCCTTTCCTTTGGCGAAAAGAGGGGAAAAGCAGATGAAACTGAAACCCACCCACGCTCCCGATCCTCTTACCTCCCCCGGTCAAGGGCACAGGCAGGTTTGTGAGAAAAGTCAATCCAGTTGGCCGGTGATCAGCCGAGAACTCCCGTGCCGGGAAATCCCACCTTTGGGCAGCTCTGCGACTTGTCTCGTTTCTCTAGATTCAGGCTGGCATACCCCCCCAGTCAGAGGCGAAGCTGGGCCACGCAGGAGAAAGGGGCTTGTTCATCCCCTAGTCTGCCCTGCCCCAAAGTTCTTGCCTTCTGAAAGGTCACGTCGGTCTGAGTTGGCGATTAAATCACCCTCACATAGCCAGGAAGGTCTGGGAGGAAATGAAGAGCGTGTCCACTCCTTGCCCACTGGCTTTATCTTTAGACTTTCAACGTATGAACTGACTGCGGGAGGTCATTGCAACTCCTGCCATTCAGTTGCTTTTTATGGTGTTTCGTCTTTCAGAGGTGAAAAGAATTGACTTTTTTTTTTTTTTACAAATCGATATTTCGTTAATTCAATAGTTTAACATAATGTATATTTAAAAATTTTTTAATGTAACTTCAAAAATAATTTAAAATCACCTCTGAGAATGTATAGAAATTCATTTCTGGTCTTTTGTAAACATTGTTAGATTTCTTGTCTCTATAATTTTGGAAGGTTGCTAGAGAGTCCAGATCTTTCAAAAACATAAATAAATAAATTTTTAATGTTAAAGCCAATTCAATTAATCATATACTTTTCCCCTAAATGAATTCTGGTGTGAAAAGAAACGTCAGAGTCTCCGTATTTAGTTTGAGAAGAATTAAAATATACATATTCCAAATCGCCCAAAAATGTGTCTGGGGTAAAACATGTTAGTAAAACCAATCAAAGTGAAAATATAACAAAATAAAAATAAACAAATCGAGGTGTTCTCTATTACATTATCTTTAATTTCTATGAAAATTTGAATGCATTAACAACCATATCGTTTGGAAGGATATATTTTTTCCTGAAAAGTCTGAAAATAATGGACTATAAAATTTTAACATCTAATATGAATAATTTCATTATATTATTGTATTATATTGTTGTTATATTATTATAGTTTTATTTCCCAAAGTAAAATATATTCACACTGTATTTAGATTATTGCTTACTATCCTTCAGTTCTTTCCTGCAGTTAATATTTGCACTGATTCAGAACACTTTATATTCAGAGCTGGCTCTTCCTTAATTACTATTTTGATATTGTATAAGCCCATTAATTCAAAAGCAAGGAAGAAGGCTTTGAATTTTCTAGGTTGAGATGAAAATAGGTAAATTAACATAAGTATATGTACATCATATTTGCCAGGAAACAGAGATGATGAACTTTGAAATAAGTATCATTTCAAATGATCCTGGGCTGACAAGCTGAGATTCTGGTTATATTATGTTTTGCTTGGATGTAAACAAGTATTTTCTGTAAATGTCATGAAATGAAATACCTTTAGCATCTAGTTACAATTCAAGTTGATTTATACACAAGGAATATTTGGATTTAAATTTAAGGGGTCTTTTTTTTTTTTTCTTTTCTTTCTTTTTTTTAAAGAAAACATCAGTCCAATTTATTTTTGCCACCGTGTTCACATAACAGGCCACTTACTGGCCTAAACCTGGCCATTAGTACATATCTTGTCCAGCTAAGGGAAGTGGGCAGAAAACAAGCTGGACGAAAATATTTGTTTGCTTTTTTGGTTTCGTTTTATTTTGACTGAGTACACCAAGGGTTTTATTTTATTTTATTATTTTATTTTACTTAAAAACCACCTTCTTTTGTGATATCAGGAATATACCCAGATTTCAGGTACAATCTGGTTCCCATGGGGAAGGTTCAGCTTTAGTCTAGATCAATATTAACGGACCAAAACCAGTTCAACAGCTGTTAAAGATGGAGAGAAGGGGACACCTATCAGCGCAGAATTTTGCACGCGTAGAACGTTTAAATAATGTTCACCCCCTCTGCGTAATCCCAGTGCGCGCGCGCCCAGGCGGCCTGACCAGGGCTGCGAGTCGCTTGCGAGTGCAGCCGGCGTCTCGGATCCTGGATCCGGGGGGCTTCAGGGGCGGGCTCAGCAGTTCGGCTTCCTGGCAAAGGCTGGAATCCAGGGCCCGGTCGGTCCGGGGCTCTCCGGGCCGCGCCTCCCAGCCCGCGCGGGTGTCCGGGGCGGAATCTCGGGAACGCGAGCGTCGCCATGCAGGCGGTGAGTGGCTCTGCGAGGACCCCGCGCTTTCTAGCCCCGGCCGCCTCTCCGCGGTTCCGGGCCGTGCTTGGGCGCGCGGTCCGTCGGGCTCTGGGCGCAGAGCCCCGGGTGCGCACCCGCAGACTGGGCGCGGGCTGCCGTCCCGCCGGCTTCGCGGGAAGGAGTCCTTCGGGGACCCTCCGAGCGCTTCCACCTCTTTAGATTTGCTTGGAGTTTATTGGCAGCGCTCAGTGAGACGAGGCAGGATAGATAGAAACCTCTGGGCCTTGCTAATAGAGCGCTGGGGGTGGCGTGAGATGGTGCAGAAACCGAAGAATTAATGCTTGTAAGGCAATAAGATGTTTCTTTACAAGTTGCTTCGGATGTTTGCCCGGACCTACCCCCTTGGATACGTGCAGAGCGGGGCCCCAGATGCATGGTTCCAAGTGCTGGGACTTCAGATAGTGCCTGGGAAATGGCATTCCGTAAATCGCGACCCCGGGTGGCTGGCGCGTGGGTTGGCACAGTCAGCGCTCCTACTTTGCAGCATTTATTTCAGTGTACGGCTGGTGGGGAAAAAAAAAAAGTCTAGGTTTGGGTTTTTGAATTCATTCTTACTTTTTATATTTATAAATAATGACGATAAAATTGTAAACTATGCTGACGTTTAAGGATTTTTGGGCAAGTGCATATAGGACCGTTAGCCCAAGCTAGAATTTTAAAAAACTCCGGAAGAGATTTTTAAAAAAAGATTTCTTTTAGTGTTATACTTTTCAATTTAATTCATTTAATTAATTGTTGGCAAGAAGTGAGCAGACGAGATGATGTTATTTAATCACAGGACAATGTGTTGTGAAAACCAGGATGGCAGACCCAGGGCTCACTTTTTGAAGAAAATGTGTTAACAATCCACTGCTCCTTTGTAAATTCCTGCGGTGGTTTCAGTATAAGTCCTAGATCACATTTAAAATTCATGTAAGTCATAAACATGAAGCTTAAACTCATGACTGGGCTTCAAATGCATATTTTAAAACCTTATTTTACAAACACTTGAAAGCCTTTCTTTTCATGTATAGTTATCACTATAGAGTTTAAATTTACCTGTGTTGTGTGATTGTTTATTATATTGATGTTTGCTTCGCGTCTTGTGATAGCTGTATTTCTTACAGATAGGGCTAAAGAGGTTGGATACGTGTTTGTTTAAAGTGGTATCTTACTTAGACTTAAAATCGGACATGAGCAAACAAAAACTTTTTTATTTGAAAAGATAATAGGAACCTTCATTTCGTTTGTTTTATTTTTAAAACGCGAACTGCATTTGTTTTAGATAAAAATGTTTTAAAAACCATTTTTGTTGTCCACAGGAAAAGGAAGGCCCTTTGCAGTCTGTTAAGGAAGAGCTTGGGAGTGGAATGGCCCAGGATGCTTTCTATGTAAAGATCAAGTTAATTTTGGGGTGTGTGTGCGTGTGTGTGTGTGTGTCAGCGCAGTTGGTCCTCTAGTCGCTCACACCAGAGAGAGAAATCGGCTTTGCTGCCTCTCCTTCCCTAATCTCCGATACCCGATGATGCCGTCCAGTGATAACTCTTAGGCTAGTCTAAGCCATCAAGTGCCAGGCACTATTCTGGATGTGGGTGGACAGTACTGAACAGAACGAACACAGTGTGCCCGTGTGGAGCTTACAGCCTGGCAGAGAGCCAAAGCAACAGGTTACCCACCAAAGGAAAGTAGTGGGAAGAAAAGGAACGGGCATGGCGACAGAGAATGGTTGAGGGTGGAGGGCCGCACTTGGCTTCCTTTAGGTAAGGTCCTGGTAGACAGACCTGCAAAGGTGATACTGAAGCTGAGATTCGAGGGCCGACAAGGAGCCCCAGGAGGGTGGAAAGTTGTGGGGAGAAGCAGCCTAGGCCTCCGGTAGCCAGTGCAGAGGCCCCGAGGCAAGGACGTTTGACCTGTTGCAGGACTCATTACCAGGGAAGCCAAGCAGAGGAAGTTGACAGAGGACACACGGTGCAGAGGCCTGCGGACCAAGGCAAAGGGTGTGTGTTTACTCCGAGTGCAGAGAGGCCAGGCAGAGTGTCAAGTGG